TTTGACTCCGATTCAAAATTATGTAGTTATGAAAAGAATATTGATGACCAAAACACATTTGAAGATGAGGTTCTGGATAAATTTCAATTGTGTGAGCCAAAAAATAATGACACTAAAGATAATAAAAATAAGTTGACTATTTCATACTATGCTTCAAAGGAGAATATTGGTAATCCTTCTGCTATTATATATTATTCTAAAAATTTATCAAGTAAAAGTGACAGCTTTAATGAAGCAATGAATAAGAATCATTCATCCTCCAAATTTTGTCATCAGAAGAAAAAAGCTAATAAATATTTAAGCTTGTATGGTCCTATTAAAGACACCCTTAGAGGTAGAAGGAATGATGGAATTCATGAAGGCACTGGGGGAAAATCCCCATTAGCTTGTTAAATGTCTTCTTTAATCTGTTAGAATTGTAGTGGAGCGAAGAAAAAAAGATTTCGTCGTAAATAATGCTGTTTTTTTGTTGGTCATATAGAAACTAAATTAAACTCCATGAATATGAATGAAGTTAGAAGGATTAATGGTATGGACTGGGATTTTTTTCATATTAATGCTAGAGGCACTTCTGGTGGTATTCTTGCTTTCTGGAAAATTAAAAATTCTGCATTCAACATTCTTAATTCTTCCAATCAATGTATCATCAGTAATCTAAAAGCTCCTAATGGAATTTCCTGGACGGTTGCTATTGTCTATGGTAATAAGGATTTGTATGAAAGAAGAAACTTATGGAATATGATAGAAAGCTATTCTTCTATTGATAATCCTTGTATTATTGGAGGAAATTTTAATTGTATTCTCTCAAAAGGTGAAATTAAAGGTGGCAAAAGATTCATGTTCTCTCAAGGACCACAAGAGATGAAGAGTTTTCTATCCAAAAATGGTTATCATGACATTGGTTCCATTAGGCCAAAATATACTTGGTGTAATAATAAAGAAGTTCTTGCTCGTATTTGGGAAAGATTGGATAGAATTTTTCTTAATTCTAAAGCTTTATCTCATATTCCTTTTCATTTATCAAACACTTGCCAAGAGTTGCTCCTGATCATTGTCCTCTTCTTATTAATATGTCCAACTCAGTAATCTATAATCATAAATCTATCAGATTCGAGAATGTCTCTTCGAAATTTTTTTCTATTGGAGCAAGAAAAAAATTGAAAGAGTTTAATAAATTTAAGTGTGAGTTACAAAATTAAATTATTTCTTTAGAATAAGAAGAAAGTTTATGTGGATTAAGCTTGGAAAATCCGCTTGTGCTGAGGAAGAAAATTCTTAAGTTGACTTCTACTCTTACTAGACTTGCTACATGGTGGAGGCAACATTCTAAATCCCAATGGCTGGAAGAAGGTGATTATAACTCACGATTTTCATGCATTTTCTATAGATAAAAGGAATGGTAACTTGATTAATAAAAATTATTATTTCTAACAGAAAAATTGAGGCAGATTTGGAGAAAATTCATGCAACTTTAGAAATTTTTTTCTGTATAAATGGAAAAAGAGACAATATTCTCTTAGCAATTGGCCATTTTTTCAAGAAGATCAGTAGATTAATAAAGATCAACAACAAATGTTAGTGGTGAATTTTAAAAAATAAGACCTTTTTATTGTGATGAAGATGGGAAATAATAAATCTTTAGGTAATGATGGAGTTAATGCTTACTTCTTTAAATTTTTCTAGAATATTGTAAATATTGATTTGTGGAATGCAATGGAGAATTTTTATCTCTGAAGTTATGCCTGATGCTTGAAAAGATACTCTGGTGGTGCTAATTCGTAAAGTTCCTAATGCTTTTGATGTGACTAAGTTTAGACCCATAAGCTTATATCAAACAATCTATAAAATTGTGGCTAGTATGGTTTTATATAGATTTGAAGGAGTGTCTTCCTAAGATTTTATCTGAATAACAAGGAGCATTTGTTCCAGGAAGTTCTATTATTGATAATTATCTTTTGGATCATGAGGTTGTTATTAAATTGAGATTTTCCAAATCTTATTCGAGTTATATGTTACTCAAATTAGATATGGAACAAGCGTATGATAGCATGTCGTGGGAAACACTAAATTAGATTTTAGTTGTTATGGGATGTTTTGGAGAAATTCATTAAATTAATTATCCATTGTATAAGCTGTCTTAAATTATCTATTGTTATCAATGGTAGGAAGAGTAATTGGATAAATGTTGAATGTTGGTTTAGACAAGGATGCCCTCTATCACCTTATCTCTTCATTCTTGGTTCTGAGCTGCTATCAAAAGTTATCCGTGATAAAGAAGGTGAACTTGGGATTCAAATTTCTCCAAATACTACAAAGGTCTCAAACTTGTTGTATGCTAATGATGTGTTATTAGTACATGAAGCTTCTTGAAATAATGCAAAGATCATTACTAAACTCTTGATGGATTACTACAATTGGATGGCCTAAAAGATTAATGTTTTGAAATCTATGGTGCTATATGGGAAGTCTGTTTTTTGAAGAAGGCAAAGAAAGTTAAAGAAAATTCTTTCTTACCGTCAAGTTGCTGAAATCACTTATCTTGGTGTGAAGATTGCCCCAAGGAGGTTAAAAGCTATTGATTTTTGGAATGTTCAGAATAAGGCAATGGAGAAGCTTAGCACATGGGGATCTCGGTCTTTATCGTTGGCTGGAATGATCTTGTTAATAAAAACTGTTTATTCTTCTATTCCTATTTTTACTATAACCCACTCTTTTGTGGCAGAGTATAAGGAACAAGGAAGATATGGGCTTCATTATATATCTTGTAATGTTCTTTGCACTTATATTTCTTAAAATTAGAGCCACTAAACACTGGAATGTTATTTAAATTGGCAGATAGTGAAGAAATACTAAATGAAAAAAAACAATTAACTCATAATTAGTAATATCATAAGGTGGACCTTTTATAAGATACCTAACACAACATCATAATTCAGTCTTTGGACAAAAATTATAATTTGTAATTGTCACTCTTAAAATTATAACTAATAACTATTGATAATAAATTCTGTCAATAATAAGCATTTCTTTGGACCGACTTACTATATGCATGAATAATTCAAATAAAATATCACATATTTATCACTATATCTTTAAAGTCCGGCCAAAAAATAATCTTCCTTTGGGGTTAATTATTTTTTGCATAGAGTAGAAAAAAATTTAGCATCAATTAAATTTAAATTAAATAAATTTATTTAAAAGATGTCACTTTGGTGACATATTATTTCAATTTATTTTAAATTTAATTTAATGAATAATTATTACAAATAAGAAATATTTAATTGATAAATATATTTTATCAATAAATTAATATTTATCATGTTACAAAACTAAAACAGGCATCTAATTTTAATAAATAAAATAATAGAATTATCAGTTTTCTACCATAAGAACAAAAAATAGGCATCTAATTTTTGCCTAAAACTGATTTAGCAAGCAAAAAAAAATTTCCTCAATATATGAATTATCTAATTCTCTAGCTATACATAGGCAGAAATATGTAACAGTTAAAAAAAAAAATGAATATGTAACAGTTTGATTAAGAAAAACTCTGTCGCCAAGACTTGCTAACACAAGAAGTGAGGTGCAGGGAGATTTTTTCTCTGCTAGGGTTTTGGCGCCTTTGGTTTGCTCTCCTCCCGCCGTCCCCCCGGGGGCCTCTCCCCCATGGCCAGCTCCTTTTTTCCGCCACTCCCATCCTCCTCTACTCCTAATCCTGCTACTGCCTCTCCGTTAGACTGGAAGAATCTTCTTGCGACGACCCCGCAAGTTTCTACTAAGTTTTCTCACTCTTTAGCCTTCGTGCCAACACAAAACTTCACTGCTCAGTTCACCAGTGAGCAGTTTCATGCTGGTGCCCCAGAGTGGTCGCTCTCTCTTGTTGGGTACTCTGTTGGTAAAAGACCTTTCTATGAAGCACTACTATCCACAATCCAAAAGACCTGGCAACTTAAAGGTGACTTTTCTCTGCTAACAATGGATGAAGGTTTCTTCCTTCTGAAATTCACGGCAGTTGAAGACTACGAGCTTGCCTGGTCTGGAGGCTCGTGGTTTTTCTTTGGGAAGCCTTTCATTCTTCAAAAATGGAGTCCGGACTTTGTTCCAAAGCGCGAAGAGTTCCCGTCGATACCTCTCTGGATAAAGATCATGAACTGTCCGCTCTCCTGCTGGACGCCTGAAGGTATCTCTAAACTTGCAAGTTGCGTTGGTATTCCCCTCGCTGTTGATGCTCTTACGGCTGCTAAAACTCTCCTTACCTTTGCGAGAGTTTGTATGCAAGTTACTAGCTCCTCTCCTCTCCCTGATGAAATATTCTTCTCTGTCGATGGCAAAGTTTCCCCCCTCCGTATCCAATACGACTAGAAACCTAAGAAATGCTCTCAATGTGGATCCATAATGCACCCACCGACTCTTTGCCCAAAAGATCCCATTCTTCCGCCAACCAACAATCACAGGACTAGAGGCTGAAGCTCCAGCCGTAAGCCTCGGTTCACGCCTCCCCCTCGTCTCATCATTCCAAAGCCTCCGCTAACAAATAAAGCCAACGCCACTCCTCCAGAACCGCCTATACTCCAAAATCCTCCACTTGGCAATCATATCCCAAACCTAAATTCTCCCTCTGGCGAACCGCCTGATCAACCTCCTTCATCCACCCCCCAGCGCTCCTCCCCACCACCAAAAGCCCCTCCCACAATTAAAACCAAAAACCAGTTTGATGCTCTTTCCGACTCAGAGAGCACAGAGCAATTGCCTCCTAATTCTACTGGCATGAATTCAAACCCAATCCTCTCTAATCCTAATCACAGCAGCCCTCCTCACACATCCCCTAGAAACCACCAACCTAACATCCCCAACAGCAATGACATTCCCTCCACATCATCCACCTCTACTTCTGATACTGCCAAAGCCCAGAATAATACCCAGCAGAATCAAAAGCAAACCAGAGGCAAGCCCAAGAAGGCCTCCACCCCAACCCATAAATGTCAATGAACCTTCCTAATATGGCAGCTTGGAACATTCGTGGGTTCAACAGCCCTGACAAAGTTTTATGCTGCAAAAACTTAGCCCAAAAACATAACATAGACATCCTCTTCATTCTTGAATCTAAGACCTCCCTTTCCTCTCTCTCCAGTCACTGGTTCCAAGCCAATCACAGAATTTTCCCTTTAGAGAACTCTTGCCACAACTTTCATCTTGCCAATCCGGGTCGTATTTGGATTAAGTGGAATGCAAATTCGGTTAACTTCATTCCAAAAATTACCACCAACCAGCTAATTCATGGGACTATTACTGTGGCCTCTAAAACCGTCTGTGCTATCACCTTTGTTTATGCTAGTAACTCTCACACAGAAAGGCAACTGTTATGGGACGATATTCAGAATATTTCGAGTACTATAGCCACTCCGTGGGCCATCATTGGCGACTTTAACTGCTGTCGTTACCATAACGAGAAGGCTGGGGGTATTCAACTCAACAACACTAAGCTTGGAGAATTCAACAAAGTTATTTTTAATTCTGGCCTCCACGATCTCTCCTCTTCTGGCCATTTCTTCACGTGGCATAATCAGCAACCTGGAAATCCCATACATATTAAGTTGGACAGAGTCCTTATTAATGATGCTTGGCTGAATGTTTTTCCCAACTCTTACTATATTGTGGGGGACCCCAACTGCTCCGACCACTCCCCTCTCATTTTATCTAATAATCTTATTGTGAAGAAAGGCCACAGGTTTTGTATAAGAACTACTTCTCCTCTAAGCCGAAATTTTGGGATTGTCTGATCCAAGCTTTCTCTCAAGCCAGTAACAACAGCCCTCTTTTCTCCTTCTACAACAAGCTCAAAAGCCTCAAGAATCTCATTAAGAATAAAAATTGGACCAACTCATCTGCTATCCAGAGAGAAATTGATTCCCTTACTGATCTCCAAAACCAAGTTCTCACTAATCTCCAAGGGAATCCCATTGACCCTACTCTGAATGCTGCTCTGAATAGCATTAATGCTAAACTCTCTTACTATCATAGCACCCTTACTAGCTGGATGTCTCAAAGAGCTAAGGTTAGATTGCTAACAATGGTGAAGATGACTTGAAATTCTTTTTTTCCAAGATCAACATCACTTCCAACTACAACAGAATCAAAGAAATTGATACTGATTCTGGGTCTGTTTCTTCCCACAAAGACATATCCACTGCTTTTATCAACCACTTCTCTAAGTTCTTTAATACCCACCACACTCGATCCCCCAATTTCACCTCCCATAACATTCCTGCTGGTGCCACTATACCACCCCACCTTCTACCTCTTCTCACTGCCCCAGTTACTATGGAGGAAATCAAAGCTATTATTTTTTCTGGCAAAGCTAATTCCACTTCTGGTCCTGATGGGTTCCCATTTGAGTTTTATAAATCCTCCTGGAACATCATCAAACACCATCTCTGTAAGGCTATCCTTTCCTTCTTCTCCACTGGTTTCATGCCCAATCAAGTGAAAGCAACGGCTATTGCTTTAATTCCTAAGCATCCTCATGCTAGCAGTATCTAAGATTACCGTCCCATCTCCTTATGTAATGTGGTCTATAAGGTTATTGCCAAGATCATTGCCAATAGGATGAAAGTGGTTTTGCCCATCATTATACATCCTAGCCAAGGTGGTTTCATTAAAAGAAAAATTATCACTGACAACATTCTTCTTTTTGGTCTTTGGTGAAGCTACCAGTACCAATGCTCATACTCTTATTGACATTCTTGATAATTTTGCTTCTGTTGCTGGTTTACACGTTAATGCCCATAAGAGTAGCATACTTATTTCTAAGGGTGCATTGCAGGCTGAGCAAATTTGTGATATTCTTCATATACAACAATCCTTCAACCCTCTCAAATACCTTGGGCTTCCTATTTTTTACTCCAAACTGAAAGCTCTGGACTTCCAACCCCTAATCCTTAATATCAGCTCCTCTCTTGAGGGTTGGAAAGCCAAAACTTTATCTTTTGCTGGGCGTATTCAGTTCCTAAACTTTACTATTTGTAACACTTTGGCCTATTGGATAAGGGGTTCTATCATACCTAAATGTTGCTGTAAAACTATTAACCGTCTTTGCTCCAGATTCTTATACTTTGGGGATACTAGCCTGAAAATACTTCAAACTATCTCTTGGAAGAATACGTGTTTGCCGAAACAATTTGGGGGTCTGGGTATTCCCTCCATCGATAGCCTTCAACATAATTTTGCTTGCTCGATTATTTGGAGGTTTTTGAACAGTAATAACCCTCTTTTTGACTGGTGGAGAGCTAGCTATTCGTCTTTATGGAATGTGTGGAATGGTAAAGGTTCTACTTATTGGAATTTTATTTGCACCAAAGCTAATACTGTTAAGCAATGCCTTAACCTTTTTGTCCACCAATCTAGCAATTTGTCCTTTCTCTGGGACCCCTGGTGTAATGGTAAATCTATTGCTGATTTACTGATTACGAATTATGAGCTGAAGGAATTTTCGTTTATGTCCAACTGGAAGATCTCTAACGTTATATGTGATATGTCGTGGAATCTTCCTAGATGCCTTGATGCTTCTACTATTTCTGCTATCTCCTGTATTCCCATATATGAGGCTGTGGAAAGTCAGCTTTGGTTGGGTTGTCAGAATCCTAAATTTCAAAATTTTCAAGACATTTTATATGGTCATTTGGCTAAGATCCCCTGGCACAAACTTGTTTGGCACAAAAAAGGAGCTTTACGGTTTTCTAGTTTTACCTGGATGGCCTTTAAGGGGGGGGCCTGAAAACTGCGGATGTGTTAACTCATCGTGGGATCTGCACTGTTACCAAATGCTGTTTTTTCTTTGTTGAGAATGAAACGGTGTCCCACCTCTTTTTTGAATGCAATTTTACTTTTAACATCATCAAAGGTATACTCCCTTGGCTGCGTAATCTTCTTATGCGGCCCAATCTTTACCAAGCTTTAGAGAGTGTGCTGGATCAAAGGCTTAATTCTTTTCATACCAGTTATTACTTGCTCTCTGGATGTGCTGCTGTGTATTTTATTTGGAGAGCTCGCAATGACAGACTTTTTGGAGGCATTTTTGACTGTCAAGCCACGATTTCTAGGAGAATAACTCTGGCAGTTCTCAGGAAGACTACAAATTGGAATCACAATCAGCGCATTCACTAATGGTTTCTGGATTTTGTTGCTGTTTACTGGGAGCCGATTTTGTAAGGACGATGATGATCGCTGCTTTGCAGCTGTCCTTTGGATGGTCTTATTGGCAACCAAGGGCCTGGCTTGGTGCAGTCCCTTCGAGCTTTTGACCCTTACCGAGTTCACCATTTATGCCACCTGAGTCCTTATACACATTTTAGTTTTTTCTTACAAAGTGTAATTCCCCTTTTGCTGTTTGTTGTCTTTGGCTTCACTTTTTGTTGTTGTAAACCAAGACCATAGGTTTCCTTTTTTCTTACTTGTAATTTTTCTTCAGCAATGATACGGGCTAAGCCCCTAAATTTCCCAAAAAAAAAAAAAAAAACTCTAATACTAATTATGTCTATGTCAGAATGCATTCATAAGGCATCAATTCCGAGGCCATTACTATTTAGAGCCAAACAAATAGAATCATTGATTAATCTAAACAGAAATTCAAATTACATTAACGTAATTATTCACATCAATTGTGAATTTTGTAACGAAACGTTGTGTCGTTTGAGAGAAAGAAAATAACTGAATTTTCTAATAAAAGGTTGCGTCGTTTAAAAAAAAAAACAACTAGATTTATTGATTTAATAGCAGCATGCAAAGTAAAACAAGGCATTTTTAATTTTTTATCTGTAACCGACCAATTAAAATTAATAGCTTAATAAACGTTCTTTATACTTCAAATTCATCAACAATGGCAACTTTCATATTCTCATACAACAACAACAACATCAAACCTTTATCCCATTATATGGGGTCGGCTACATGAACTCTTTTTCTCCATTGTGTCCTATTAAAAGTCAAATTCTCGTTTAAATCTAATAAAGAAAGGTCATTCCTAATATTTTCTAACCAAGCCTTTTTAGCTCTACCCCTACCGTTCTCAACACAAGTCAAATCTAATATCTCTACTCTCCTAACCGGGTCATCGGAAGGCCGCCTTCATATTCTCATACAAAAAATTAAATCCATGAAAATGATGAACTCAATTGACGATAAAAATGGTGAAGAATTATTACGATTACTGTAATGTTGAAATTCACAAATTTATATGTTCTCTCAGAATTTTTTCAAGACAAAGCAAAATAGATATTGAAAAAAATGTTAGCAAATATTTTACAAAAAGGAATTGGAAAATTTCCAAATGAAAAAATCATTATCAAACGAATATTTCTTTTAACCGAAAAACTCAAACAAATCAATAACATGCTTAGAGAAAATAATTTCTCGTTGAATCAACATGAAAACCATACTCTAATACCACTTGTTATGATTCAATGGAGAAAAAATAATAATTTGATCGACTCCGAAAGACACATCAAATCATCGAGAAAAGACCCCGGAAACTTACTTGAATCCATTGAAATGCAGAATCGAGGTTTTTGTTCTACCACGTTTGAAGCAGCATTCTCCAAGAGAGCTAGAGACCTCTTCTTTTCACTCAAGATGAGAAATTAGGGAAATAAGAATTTAACTGCTTAACCCTTTTGTACTTCAAATGTATTAATTTATTTTTTCAACCCATAATTAAAATAAAATAAATACTTGGCATCTACACATATAATTATTTTCATATAAATTTAATTGCGATGCCACATAGCAAAAAAATTATAATTTAATTCTTAAATAGATCACGAATTTAATTGACTCAATTTTAGATAGTATCTAATGTATAATGATTTACTTATATGTATAAATATATGAACCCACATACAAAATTTTCTAACAATTAATATGTAAGTTTTGCTGTGTGATTGCTGGTATTTCTGGCTATGATGGCTATATTATGATTGAATCATTTTCTTTATCCACAGAGTGATTGGTTTTTCCAAAATACTCTGGAGAAAAGGAGTTCGAGTTTGATGTTGGTATTGATAGAAATTATATGGATATTTTTAAATGCTGTTGATGTCTTATCTATAGCATATTTATATTATTACTGAAAATCAGTGCAGTCAGTGTCTTCGTTTTTAGATTCATGGTGATGGTTTCAGGAGCTTGAGAGGCTCTAGATTCCAGTGCAATACGAACCGGTCCTGCTGGGTGTATATCGTTGTAGTGCTCATAATGTCGCTCGATATGGTGGTATTACTCATAATTGAAGATTTGAAGGAATGATTGAAATTGGTTCTTTGTGGATCTGAGCTTGAGCCAATTATGCCAGTTTTAGCAGGAGCTTTATTTTATCGTATCCTGATTTATGTTGGTGATAGAATGTCAGATTGTACGTCTTTAGTTACATGATTAATGTTATTCATAGGATCCTTTATGTTGTTGATTATTAGTTTAGGTATAGCATGGTTGTATAATGAGATAATCTTTTTCTAGTCGGGTACTTGTATGCATCAATTATTTGTCGGATAGAGCTTTTATTAGATATGATTTCTTTAATTTTGATAATTTATCTTTGATATTATTCCTAGTTTTTTTTTTTTAATTTCTTCTGTTTTGTAGGTTTTAATCAGGAGCTGGACAAGGATTCGACAAAACCCTTACTAAGGATTTCTATGGATTGATTGGATTAAAGGAATAAATGATCACTTTATTTTATCATCTATTTGTAGTTTATTGATAGTTGGTCTTTTTTTTTTTTTTTTAATTTAAGTGAGATTTAATGATTCAATTGATTTTGCACTTCAAGATATGTAGGCAACCTATCATTCCTTAAGTGATGAGTTTTACTTTTTTTATATATATATTTTGATAAAATTTTATTGTATTGTGTTAAAAAAGTAATTAATGGTCGGGTGATAGTTCGTTTATTATTAAATTAAATTTTGGTTAGAAAGAAATTTTTTAATTACTTATTTGACAGTGATATATTATATATTTATTTATTAGTCACTGGTATTTTTCTAATTATCAGATATTAATTCAATAATTTCATCACTGGACCAAATCCTGCACGAAGACCATCAAGAAGCCGCTAGTAATGGACACCAATAAGCAATACGACACGCCCTCATCATTACCCATAATAAATATATCAGCCCTACCAAACAAGCTAACGAAAAACAAGTGCAAATCCAAATCCAAAGAGCCAGACAACCAATTAACCACAACATCTAAGCCGAGGAAACTCCAAAAAGCTTATTTAGATTTCCTATGACGACTATTTCCCCCAACCAAGGTAAATTCATTTTCAATGAGAGGATCCACTTGCACCTTATACGATTCCTGAACACCCCCAGAAGAGTCAGCAAAAGCCACCTGATTTCTATCCAGACAAACAAGGAAAACATTCAACCAATATGAGTGGTCCACATAGCAATCTCTAGACTTGCCTAAATGAACTTGTAAAGAAACATTATAAATTAGAGACACGTGCACATGGATACATTAAGAAGACGCAAGAACCCCAACAGGTGTAACTGACTCAGTAATAGGAGAAACAGCTGTTGACCCACCCAAATCAGTGGAACCATCATCCACGACCAGATTAATACCACATTGGCCTTCAACATTATCTAACAAAGTTTCACCCGAACCACAACTACTAGGAGACTTCTCAACAATAATAAGAGAAAGAGCACCATCAAGCGCACTAACACCCTCCATGACATAAGCATTGGTATTTATCTAGGAGCAAACCGCGGGTAAAGGAATCTCCTCCGAAACCAACAAAGGAGGAACCAAAGTGACCATAGGTGCTGGAGTGTCCATCACAATCTCAGGCTCCACTATTATAACTTGTTAAATATGAGTTAGGTTATTAGACCTATGCTTATGTCCCAAAGGCTAACCAAGAGTGGGGGTGAATTGGTATTTTAAATTTTTTTCTCTTTTTGTAATTAAAAATTTGAAATCGATTAAAAAACTGAGCAAGTTGATTTTTATGTTTTCAAAAATAATTTTCAACCACGAAAAAAAAAAGCAGAAATTAAAGGCAGCGGAAATAAAAAGACATAACGGTTTATAGTGGTTCAGTCAAACATGACATACATCCACTCCCTGAAGTCTCCCACTTCAGGTATTGCACTATTACCACTAGTGTCTCTCTTTTTCCCCCACAGCAAAGCAGAAAAGCCCTCACAAAAACTCTCTTCCACCACTACCCGGTGCAGCAGAGAACCGTCATTCTTTTACACTCTCCAAGTGTACGCAGAGAACCTTTTGTTGTTCACATTCTCTAAAGTGTAGGCAGAGAACCTTCCACTGCTCACCCTCTTAGAGTCTCGACAGAGAATCGGATCTCTTTACAAAATCTTCTCACAAAAAATCTATAAGGATAAGAGAAAGGAGTTAAGAAATCATAAAGAACACATAGAGATCCTTAACTTTGAGTAACCAAGTAAATCCTTCATGCTCCACAACTCTTATGGTAATTTCTTCAACTTCATCTTCATCCTCAACTCTAGACTTCCTAGGATTAGATTCATCAAACACTACATGAGTAGTCTCCTCCACCACCAATGTTGTCTTATTAAACACTCTAAAGGATTTCCCCACACTTGAATAAGCTAAGAACACTCCTTCATCAGATTTTGGGTCAAATTTTCCTAAGTGTGACTTCCCATTATTACGAATGAAAACCTTAAAACCAAAGAGATGGAGCTGGGAAAGATTTGGTGTCCTACCCTTAAGGATATCATAGGGTATCTTATCAAGTTTGGTTCTAACATTCACCCTATACAACACATAACAAGTTGTGTTTACCGCTTCAGCCCAAAAGTATTTTGGAAGTGAATCTTCAACAAGCATGGCTCTAGCGCCTTCAACTAAAGTATGATTCTTCCATTCAGCTATCCCATTTTACTGAGGGGTTATAGGATTTGAGAAGTTGTGGTAATCCCCTTATTCTCATAAAAGTCTCCAAATCTCTTATTTTCAAACTCTCCCCTATGGTCACTATTGATGGTCAAGATCTCATAGCTTAGCTTTTTCTAAATCCAAGTGAAGATAGCTCTAAACTCATCAAAAGACTCATTTTAATGTGACAGAAATTTAATTCAAATAAACCTCGAGTAATCATTGACAATAAAAAAACTATAGACTTTCCCTCCTAAGCTAAAAGTGCAAATGGATCCAAACAAATCCATGTGAAGGTCTTCTAAAGATCTAGAGGTGCTAATGTCCTTAATGGAGTGAAAAGAGGAATGGACTTGCTTCCCTAATTGGAAGGCATCACAAAGGTGTTCTCTAGAGAATTTAAGCTAGGGGACACCTCTAAAAAGGTCTTTCTGGGTCACTCTCCCAAGAGTTTTCATACTAGAATGACATAATCTCTTATGCCATAACCAAGAATCATCAATAACAATTTTAAGCAAAATAAAGAAGCACATTCAATATTATTTAAATCAAGCATATAAATATTCTTTATCCGCTTTCCCTACAAAATAGTGTTATTATTTAAGCATATAATTCATGTATTAGCCAAAAAATTTATGATGATGCCCACATCGCAAAGTTGACTGATACTGAGCAAGTTGTGTTTCAGTTCATCTACAAGAAAAATATTTTCAATCAAAAGGTTCTTGGAGTTTCTAATTATACCTGCACCCACCACTTTCCTGGTGATGTTGTCTACAAGAGTAACCTTGCCTCCAGCCCCGACCTCCAGTAAAATGAATTGATTAGCATTTTCAGTCAAGTGTCAAAAGCATCCGTTGTCTAGGCACCACATGCTCTCACAAGGCCTTTTGTGAGAGCAAGCCTACAAAATCATAAACGTCAGATTTAAGAACCCAAACAAGTTTGGGTCCCTTCTTATGAAAAGAAAAAAGCAATACATGTGTGTTATACTGTGAATCATGTAATTTAGGTCTCCGTACCCAATGTGTACTATGGTGAATGGTGCAAGTGTGTTCAATGTGTCTTAACATGCCACATGAAAAAGATCTGACACCAAGAAAAGAATGTACTAATCTACTAATGTGGTGATGTATCTTTTTAAAGTTAAGTGATGCATGCAATGATGAGTTGTTATTTTCAAAAGCTTTGAGATTTTCTAATTTTTTAAATTCTTTTTCTAACTTAGCATGAGATATTTTCAAGGAATCATGTGCATCAAATAATTCAGTATGATTTTTGTTTAATGTATCAAACTCATCAAGTAATGACATGTGATTGCTATCAATTATAGAATGATCTTTAAGTAAAATTTCATACTCTTTTTGTAATTTTAAAAATTCCAATTTCAAGCTAGCATGTGATTTCTTAAGTTTCCTATATGATGCATGAATTTGTTTAAAAACTTCAAGTAGTTTTTTTTTTGAAGAAAAGCAATAAAGCTTTATATAAAAAAAAATAACGGATTACAACCTAATATTAATGGAATCCTCCTTTAACACTTTAGTAAAAGTGTGAGGAACCTTATTCGCTACTAAATCCTCCCAAATAAAAAAACTAAAACAAGCATAGTTAGCACATAAGTCTGCTAACTTATTACTATTTCTACCATCACAATTAAAAATGACAAAATTAAAATCTTTAATAAAAGAAAGGTCCCCCACCTCATTGCTACATTTCTTCAAAATGCTATTAATAAAATTAATAACATTTTGATTATCACCTTCAATGATCATACCTTTGTAAGCATACATCCAATCACTAGTGACTTCTTTGATGGAAAGAATAGATAGAAGCTCCAAGTAAGAGATATCCCAATGTGTTAAATTTTTGCCAAAAGCCATTAAAAATCTTCCTCTATGGTCTCGAAAAACTCCACCAATTCCCGCCTTGTATGAAGAAAAAAGAGAAGCATCAACATTGACTTTTATCCAATCAGGTGGAGCGCGGTGCCAAAATTCATTAAACAACCCAACCGGTTGGTTGTCATCCCCGATACCCGAGCAACTACTATTCACGTATCTTGACAATGAGGCATAGCTAACTGCATCAGTAGCTAACAACCAAGAGCTTGAACGTTTGCCTTCATGCACAAGTCCATTCCTAGCTCTCCAAGAAAGATAAACCAAATTACAATAAAGATTTATCAACCAAATATCTTTGCTCTGAAACCACTCGAAACAATTGTAAAGAGAATCGAAATTTGGGATATCAAAACCCCACTTCTTCAAAATTTGGAATGCTTCATTTAACTTGTCACATTTCGAAATAATGTGACAAGTGTCTTCCACTTGTTCACAACCCCAAGGGCACTTTTCATAATCTATCAGCCTTCTATTACGGAGGAATTGATTAGTTGGAATGGCTTTATGAATGATTCTCCACCAAAAGTTCTCCACTTTAGCACTAAGCTTAGTTTTCTTGAGCCATTTACATATAGAAGAATCTTCAGGGTTATCTTCGGAATTTTCCCTAGCCAAAGTTGTAATTGTTTTTCTTGTAGAAAACTGCATCAATTCCAGTGTATCCTCACCTGGTTCATTCGAAATCTGGACCTCTTTTATCAAATTAACAAGCTCCAAGCCAAACAATTCTTCTAGCTTTGCAATGTCCCATCTTCCATTGGTAATTATATTGTCAACCGTGAAATCATAGTCTTCCTTAGCTTGCACAAAAGTTGGCCAACTTTCCAAAGGCTTATTCAAAATCCAGTTGTCTTTAAACACAT